CGGGAGGTATCTTTTGCTTTTATCCCGTTAAACTGCCCTGCTTTGACTCGTTCATCTACAGGCCACATCCCGCGGCAGCTAGGAGATCTTGGCGCCCTCGAGACCCTCCACTTCGGATTCAACAAGCTAGAGGGTGAGTTGAGTAGATAAAAAAAAACATGTGTTCCTTCGACTTCTAAACTTCCAGAACATCGGTCCCGCCTACGTACTTGGCGGCGTCAAAGTTATCCCGCTAGTTCTGAAGTTTCGTGGACGCGTAGGCGTAGGGGCCTACGCGTCCATTCACGCAGTACGCGGGGTTCATGCAGGCAAAACTCGCAAGCAAACGAAAACTCTTTTCGATCTGTTCAACTCACCATCTAGCTTGTTGCGCGAGAGGGAGAGGTGCTGGAGGGCGCCAAGCTGTCCGAGCTGCGGCGGGATATGGCCTGCAGATGAACGATTCAACGCAGGGCAGTTTGGCAGGGTACAAAAAAAGTTCTCCCGCGAGTTCTGAAGTTTCGTGGTCGCGTAGGCATCCNGGCGTCAAAGTTATCCCGCTAGTTCTGAAGTTTCGTGGACGCGTAGGCGTAGGGGCCTACGCGTCCATTCACGCAGTACGCGGGGTTCATGCACGCAAAACTCGCAAGCAAACGAAAACTCTTTTCGATCTGTTCAACTCACCATCTAGCTTGTTGCGCGAGAGGGAGAGGTGCTGGAGGGCGCCAAGCTGTCCGAGCTGCGGCGGGATATGGCCTGCAGATGAACGATTCAACGCAGGGCAGTTTGGCAGGGTACAAAAAAAGTTCTCCCGCGAGTTCTGAAGTTTCGTGGTCGCGTAGGCATCCGCGGGATTCATTGACAGCAGATCATAATGAGAAGTCCAACATAAATATTTAATTGGAATGTACCTGTAAGCTCGTTGCTGTTGAGCCACAGGATCCGCAGCTTGCTGAGAGCCCCTAGCTCAGGCGGGATGTGGCCTGCAAGCGGACGGGGGGAACGGAAAGCTTAGCGGGACAAAAAAAACAAAGCCCCCGCTTTCTAGAATATCGGTCCCACAACTTGAGTGGACGCGTAGGCATA